GTACTTGGAAACACTATATTGTCGATCAACATAGTTGGTTGCACCTAAACCAACTTGTTGAAAGCACTTGATGGCATGTGAGCAAGGCATGTGGTAGATGGACCATTTTCCACAAGAGCATAACTTTGCAGATTCATTTATAGTATGCACATTATTACCCCGATTTTGATGGATAGCGGTGCGAACTTCAAAAACATTTCTTTCATTATCATACTGCAAAAATGAATGCCAATGTGCTCGTCGTCTGTATTTCTCAAATCTCGTCATCGGCACTGGCATAAATTCAACACCCCTTTCCATCAATGACGTTGCAGCCGCAGACCTTTCAACGAACCTCTCCGCCATTTGCTTGAACGACATCCGCACCATGGCTGTGACAGGCAATCCTCTTGCCGACTTCAATAACCCGTTGAAAGACTCTGACAAATTTGTAGTCAGAGTTCCCCATCGTCTGCCACCATCCGCATGCAAAGTTCACTTTTCAGGGTCATGTCGCATTAACCAACGATAGGCTGCCTCGTCTTCTTGCCTGATATATTCCATGTGCCTCCGGAATTTATGTTGTTGGTGGTCTGTTGCTGCCATCCACACCAAATCATGCAGATCCTTATTGGGATATGCCTTTTGGAAATTGGCTTTCAAATGCCTAACACAGTAACGATGGTAGGCATAAGGTTCTTTCCATGCAGGCAAGTTCTCCACAGAACTTAAGATACCACCGTGCCGATCAGATATTAGACAGATACCGGAATGCTGTTTCACAACGTTCTCTTTCATATGGTTCAAAAACAACGTCCACGTCTCTTGGCTTTCATTGGCACAAATAGCAAAAGCTAGAGGAAATATCTGTCCATTAGCATCTACTGCCACGGCTATTAACAGCTTGATATCGTACTTTCCATAGACATGAGTGCCGTCTATGGATATTACGGGGCGACAATGCGAAAAACCATCAATTGCTGGTTTAAACGCCCAGAACACGTAATTTAATATATATTCTGGTTTACCTGCACTTCGCTCAAGCTTCCACTCAACAACCGTCCCGGGGTTAAAATGTTGTAGTGCAGCCATGTACCTAGGCAGATCTGCAAATGACTTATCCCAGTTACCATACACTATTTCAAACGCTCGTTTGCGCCCGAGAAATGCCTTTCTTTTAGTAATGGTATGGCCATGTTCCTGCTGGACTGATGTAATGCACTCTTTGATTTTATACCTTATGGACTGTTCGATGTGTGGAATAAGAACAAGAGAAATCAAGTCAATATCCAAGTTGAAGTGATTCCCGTTGAATGTGTCCATTTCGCATGTGTGGGTGGGAATGTATTTACCCACTTTCCACATACCTGTCTTCTTCTTGGTCGCACGCAACATCCAATTACATGGCCAAAACCACCTGCGGCAAACAACCTTGTATACCGTCGGACTTGACTCCCATACCTGCATCTCATGACACTCTTTTACGTTGTGCATTTTACAAGCCCTGCTTAGGCGCGCTTTATCAGGAAAAAGCATCCCCTTTGCAAGTACCGTTGGTCTAGACTCATCCCACATTGCTGTCCGGATTTCATCAAAATCCCTTGTGAGAGCTTCCACATCCGGCACGGCTGGCAAGTTATCAATGTAAGGAATCTCTCTTGAATGAAACGACACTTCGGACTCATACACTCTTCGTCTAGGGGGGTCTCTCTTCAAATCAGGTCCTTCCTCCTCATCCTCTGCATCACCATCCTCACGAGCAAAGGGTGTCTCATCCCCGGATTCATCCGCATTGTTATCGTAATCACTGTTCTGTTCCTGACTCTGTGCATCTGCTAGGTCCCGATGTAATACATCATTTTCGGGCAATTGAGTGAGTTCAACTTACTCGTTTTCACTGCACAACCAACAAAAATATAAGCTACTAAATTAATAAATAATTTTCATATTTTGTGTAAATCACTTCACTTACAAGTCGTAATGTGATAAAATTTCATGATGGACGTTATCAATTAGGTGATGACTACCGGATGGGCCACTTGTAAAATTCATATCCAGCCGGTAACCCCTATTAAATATGTGAGCGTTAAGACAAATTCAATACAACAAATATATACATAATTAACACAAATGAAAATTAAAATTTACCACTCGTCTTGTGAGTTATGGAAAGCAGGGTTTAAATTATTTTCTCGCTGCTCATTCACCGGCGGTGATAAGTTTAAATCAAAGATAACTCGTTCATCCGGAACTTGTCCGGCAAAAACTGTTCCAGAATAACCCCCCGATGACTAGGGGTTATCTCTACTACGCACAACCTCATTTTTTGGAACGTCTTCGACCTTCACGTACATCTCCAACATTGTGATTACAAGAAAATCCCGACATTCGTCCGGAGTCCTCAAAAAATCACTCAAAGTTTCATCATCGTCGATGTTAAACTCCGAGTAAAAAGCAACCCCTTGCGGAGTGACGGAATAAGGATATCTTCCGGTTACTTTAAATATCACCGAACGTTTCCTCACACTCATTTTTTTGCATAACAACGATATCAATGTATCGTACTCCATTGTCAGTGGCAATTTAACATGACACTTAGCAGGTAAACTGTAGCCCACAGAGTTATTCTCCATCACAACCTCACCACCCCAATATAATGAAACTCTTATCCTACGCTCTTCAGACATTATAAAAAAATGCTGGAGAATTTAACAACAACAGACGTCAAGAGTTAAAAAAAATTTTGAATGCATTTCTATGCGATTCTAACCTCTTTATATAGAAAATGGGGAGCCGGGAAGTTTTTTTTTTTTTTACATATATAGCGCCAAATAAGTTGGCGCTTTATTTTGAATTATTGTACTGGTCAGGAAAAAAAAGATATAACGCCACTATTTCTGGCGCTATATCACTGTCAGTGTATAACGCCAGAAAGAGTGGCGCTATATCACTCACAGTGTATAATGCCAGAAATAGTGGCGCTATATATTAACGGTGTTGTTACCGTTTATATATAGCGCCACTATTTCTGGCGCTATATATATTTTTGTTACTTTTTTTTTACACCTATTTATGTGTTTTGAATCTAAAATAGCAACATTTTGGTTTCGCACTCTCAGCAGTTGCTACTCTTTTATTACTCCTTTGGAGTACAACTCTCCTCTTCTCAGTCTATCCAAGGTGTTTATTAGACACGTAAATTAAAAAATAATAAAATTTTTTAACATGGAAGTAAAATACATCCAAATTATCAAAATTGTCTTTACATCTCCAATTAGATAGGAAGTGGTTGTAATTTTATACATCATTTTATATTTCTCTGAAAAATTGAATATCTTTATTAAATAAGTCTATCAAATCATGTCGACAAAGGTAGAGATAATACAAGAAATATAACAAGATTAAATACATTCTTAAAACAAAAAAGTAAGTAATAGATTAAATACATTTCTAGCATAAAAAATAATATTCTTTTCAGAGACATTGAAAACAAAAAGATGTCACTTAAAATGAGAGGAAGGAATTGATAATAACAGCTAGGAGTAATTTTTTTAATTTTAAATACTAATATTACACTGTCACATTACTTGATGTCTATATTAAGGATAAATCGACAAATATGGTCCCTTAAGTTTGGGTATAGTTTAAAGTGGTCCCTAAAATATGATTTTGAATAGCATTGGTCCTTTAATTTTGGGAAAGGTGAGTACTTTCGTTCTCCTGTAAATAGTTACTAACATATTATGATTGTCGGATTTAACATGAGCTCACATTTGGAGACATAATTTTTGCGTTTTTTTTAACATTATTTTTGGTCTATTTTTGAAGTTTGGTGCAACTTCTTGAGATACAATTTCTATTATTTTCTATTGTTGGTGTCTGGTGCAGTTTTTGATATTCCGATTTATCAAAAGCACTTTAAGTAGAAAAAAATTCATCTCAAATTAAAGAAAGATTCCGCACCTCAACTAATTCAAGTAATTGTTAGTAGGAAAGTCATATCACTAAACATCTGGAATTTGGCGTTCACATGTTCTGTCAAATCTAATAGTATGAGTTTATTAAATAGGACACTCATTTTTGACAAAATTAAAGGACTAAAATTACTTAAAAGTATAATTAAGAGATTATTTTGAATCTACTCCAAACATTAGGGATCACTTTATCATTTGCTCCTATAAGTATTGGCAGTCAGAAAAACAATGATGGAACTCATCTGAGTGACTCCACATGCATTTGCACAAAAGTAGATGATGTCAAAAAGTACCCTTTCTTACTTCTTATATTTTCTTATTTTTCTCCAACTTGTCCCTAGGGTGTTCATGGTTCGGATTGGATCGGTATTTCCTTAAAAGAAACCAAACTAAATAAGTCGATTTTTCAAATAAAACCAAACCAAACCAATTAAGTTGGTTTTTTCTCGATTCGGTTTATGTCGGATTTTGTCGGTTTTTTCGATTATTTATCGGTTTTTTCTTAAATATAAAACATACACTTCCAAACACATATTCCGGCGATCACATTTTTAATGTTAACACTATCAAATCAATTGCCCTTTGAGAATCTATTATTTATCAAGATATATTGATGGTAATTGAATAAAATAGTGATGAATAATTTAAGGACTCAATTAATTATTTTTAACACATAATGGATTCTTACACTTAACAAAAGAAAACTACCAATCAAACTAGAATGTAAAGGTAAAGAACTATATTAAAAGTGCAAACTATTAACATTTACCATTAAATTTTTGAAACTTTCTATAAAAATATACATATATATAGGTGTAATAATAAATTTGAAATAGCTACTCCTATAGTCGGTTTGGTTCGATTTTTTTCTGATTAAAACCAAAACCAAATCAAATTTGATCGGTTTTTAAAATTCAAAATCAAAATCAAACCAAACCAAAAAGTATTGGATTTTTTGATCGATTTGAATTAGTTTTCGGTTTGATTCAATTTTTCGGGTTTTTATGAACAGCAATGCTTGTCCCCTTCATATCCTCCGCACACGGCGCAATTTAGCCGTATCTCCCGCTTAACTCTCACAAGTTCCAATCCAGTCAGGTGTTAACCTGTTTACCCCACTCTACAAACTCTGCAGTTTCTCCAACATCACTTCTCTTCACTTTTCCCTTTTAGCCTTTCCCTTTCATTTCTTTGATAGCTTATCTCATGGCACACAATACCACCCACAGGCGCACTTTAGCAACTTCAGACCATAAGCCTAAAACTTCCATTTCCATGGATCCCACTCTCAAAAAGCAACCTAAACCCAATCCCTTCAACTCCAAGACTTGTCCACCACATCCTTATTATTGTGTTCCCTCCAACACTATAGACAACATCTCCAACCAATTTTCCCAGCTATATGCAAATCATAAAAACCTCAAATCTTCCTTAAAACATCCATCTGGGCATTCATATTCTTCAGATGACAGCCATTTAAAGCTCAAATCTTGGACTGATTCAGCTGCTTTTGATTCTTCATGTACAGCGTTGACCAAGTCAAAGAGCCAACATGGGATCTCTAAGGAAAGAAAATCTGTCAATGAATGTTACAACAAAGACCATGATATTGACAAAGAAATTGTTGTGCAGAAAAAAGAAGTAATCAAGAAAGTTTCTTCCCATAAGGGGAAAGAGTTCCACAAAGAACTGGATGTTAAAAGGGCATTTATCAATTTGTCTAGGAGTCAAGAAAATGAAAGGCTAAAGGGGTTTGAACAAGGGATTGATGAGATAAAAAAGCAATCTTTATTAAGGAGGAAATCATTATGTAGTTCACAGATTGAGTTAGCTGATTTCTACTCTTGTAATGGTGTGAAAGTTGTGTCTGTGGATATGCCACCTTTTATGCAGATTCATGTTGTCAATTGTGCAAGAAAAACTCATGATAGCTTGGAGAAGTTCACCTCTAAAGCACTTGCTCTTACCCTCAAAAAGGTAAAAGAAAAAATTTACTGCTGTAATAATTATGCATTTTTTTGGGTTGTTTTTGATGAATTACTGATTATTGGATGAATGGGTTTCTGATTTATGTTTTCCAGGAGTTTGATGGGGTGTATGGACCAGCATGGCATTGTATAGTAGGGACCAGTTTTGGTTCTTTTGTGACACATTCTGTTGGTGGTTTCATATATTTTTCTATGGATCACAAGCTATATGTACTTCTCTTCAAGACTAGTGTACAAAAAGTAGAATCTAGTTGAAAATTCTTGAGCTGAAGTTCGTTTTAGTACAGAGGAAAATTTTGGTAAAAATGTGTTGTCTACTATGCAATTCTGTTATTAGATTTGCTAAGAAAAATAGGGGTTCATTATCATTGTAATGTTGATAAACAAATGTACAATGGTATAATTCATCCTCTGAGGTTCAGAAAGGTAATGGTAGAGTTAGATCTCTTTATAACAACGCCTCTATATAACAATCATTCACTATAAAATTCAAGTTTTTTTTTAAACTAATTTTTATGTTATACTCCCTCCGTTCGTAACAATCGGACTGTTATAAAGAGGTTTGACCGTAGTATTTTCACAGTTGGAGTGACCAACAATGGTTCACATGCAAACTCTTTTTCTTTTTTCTTTATACTTCTTAGATATCAAGTTATACATTCATATGCAAGTTAAAGATATGCATAACTTCTAATTTTAGAGAAATTAAACTAGTACTCTCTCCAGTTCATAATAAGTGATTTTTTGACTTTTTTTTTTTGTTCAAAATAAGTGATTTTTTCGGATTTTAAGACTGAATTAATTATTTTTTCCCTACATTGCTCTTGGAGTAAATAATGTTGAAATATGTGTTAGGAGTATTTACGTGAAGAGCCGGTAAATGTTAATATGGTCAATTTTATTGTTAATTAATGTTAAAAGATAAGTTTCTTAATATGTATGAAAAGCACCAAAAAATCATTTATTTTAGATCGGAGGGACTATTAAATATTAGATTGAGATGAGTTCAATTGAGCAATATAAATAGCAAGGATTCATATAGTTTATTTCAACTAATTAGGATTCGTTGCAGTGCAACTTATTCCCGGTGTTTGTATGCATTTTCAAGTATTGTAAAAGTCTGATTGACATTACTGACTTCAATATTCTTACCTCGTAAAATAATGACATTATGACTCATCATCTACCCCTAGGACTGGGCAGTACTGAGAAGGTACCGCTTTATTTTTTACTCTCTTCGGTCCAAAATAAATGATTTTTTGGTCCTTTTTTTGTGGTCCAAAATAAGTGATTTTTCCAAATTTTAAGAGAATTAATTATTTTTTTTCCTACGTTGTATTTGGAGTAAATAGTATTGGAATATGTGTTATGAGTGTTTATGTGAGATAGTAAAGGTTAATATGGTCAATTCCATTGCTAATTAATGCTAAAAGGTGGATTTCTTAATCTGTGTGAAAACATAAAAAAAAAACACTTATTTTAGACCGGAGGGAGTATTTTTTTGAGGAAAAGGGAATACTTATATTAATACTAGTATTATTATAAAATATTATAAAGATGTCTTCAAGATACTTAACAATGAAAGTGTAGTCCATTAGATTTCCTTGTGCATTATTGGATAATACAAGGAATCCTAGATTGAACCCATGCTGACGCAGTCGTTTTGCAGCAGTCTTCCTTTTTCGGGGCATTTGCATCTATATCCGCTTTTTGTGTCACGTTTTAACTTGTGCCCGCTTTGCAAAAAAAATTGCAAGCGTACTCGCTTTTTCGCATAACTTCAGCATACGGGGCTGAAGTAGCAAAGGCAATCACGAAAAACTTCAGCATTCTAGTAGACGGGCCCGAAGTAGCAAGTGTGTTGAACCAAGTGTGTTGAAGTTTTTGTTTTGTAACTGGTGAAGTTTTTGTTTTTGTAGTTTTGTAACTGGCGTAGTTAACCTAGATACTAATAACTCCTTTGATTATCCTTCGTGTTGATGAGTACTGTCTTCTCCGGATTGTGCCGTGTCTTCTCATATGAGAAATAAGCTCCTTTTGTTCCATCTGTTTCGCTAAGTTAGGACTCATCTTATGTGAAAAATGTGAATATATGTAATTTTAATTTACATTTAACTGAACTACCTTGAACCACAGAAAAACTTTACAAACTTACAAGAACACCTCAACAACTGAATGAAGATGAAGTCTATGAATGATGATAACAACAATTGCAGCAGCCACAGAAGTAGCAATAATAATAATAGTAATAGTCATAATGATGCTAGTAGTAACTGGTTAGGATTTTCTCTCTCACCCCACATGAAAATGGAGGTTACTTCTTCTGAACCTCAACACCAACATCATCAGTTCAATAATCCTGCTGTTCCATTTGGAAGGATATCCAGTTGTAATGGATACAGTATATTTTCTGCTTAGCTGAGATTCTCGTGTATATGATTCGAGAGAGTTGCAAAGCAAGGAGGAGAAGAAAGGGGACTGAAGTTATTTTAAAAATGAATAAAATTAAAAGTTTTTTAAAAAAATAAGTATAAGTTAAATGGGGGCGACCAAATAGGACGCCCCGTGCAATTTTTACCTTTTTCTTTTGGTCATTAGTAGTATCGTGGGATGGTTGAAATTATTCTACCTCTAAACTGTCTTGACAAATGAGAATATTTTGGTAGAGAGCGATTTTATCTTTTTGTGGCCTTACTCGTACAAATCCATTTTATTGCTTAGTATCTCTAATGGTATAAATCTGAATTAATCTAAATAAGTATTAAATATGGGATGACTTAACTAAAAAGATAAAAAGAATTGTGCCAACTATCCGGAAAACAAAAGAAAAGAGCTGTCAATATGGGCCGAGCCGGGTTAACTGATCCCGGCCCATGTGGACTTTAGTAACTTACCGGCTGGGCTGGGCTAGCCTACCATTTTGATGGGCCTTATTATGATTAGCCTACCCTAGTCCTATGTGGGTCGTCGGCCCCCACAAGCCGGCCCATTATTTTTAAAAATGTAATTTTACATTTTTTCTTTAAATACTAACCTAAAAAAAGTTAAATATTTAAAAGTTAAAAAATATTTTATTGAAAAAATTTCGCAAAACTTAATAACTTACTGTTCCAATACATCACAATAAACACCAAAAAAATAAAAGACACGACTATATTTCATTCACTAAAAGTCAAAAATTAAAACAAACTATTCAAAAGAACGTCCATGATGCTTATGGGATATCTAACACATCATCTTCATCAAGTCTTAACATCTTCACTTTCATCTAAATCTATGCAATATTAATTAGTTAAATATTAAGAATAATTAAATTTAAAAACTAATAATATTCAAATTCACATAAAAAAATATTACCAGTTTGAGTTTGGAAAAAACCGTGCAACCAATTTCGAGTAGTAACAAGTGTTTGGACATTTTCATGATAGATGCAACTTCTGTACTTGGTAAGAACACGCCCATCAATGCTAAATGCTGATTCCGATGCTACAATGTCATATATTTTTTATATTTTATATATTTCAAATAAATATTTTTATTAGGCCCACGGGCCGGTCCAGCCCAGCCTCACGGACCACGGGCTTACTCGGAACGGACTTAAAAATGGGAAAAGTACAGAAATAGCCAATTTAAACACAAACTTACCAACCTCTAGCCCAAAATTAAACACTTACCAAAATTTAGAGATACACACAAGCGTATCAATTTACCACGCATCGGAGAATCACGCTTCCAACAATCACGCATCCGAGAATCACGTTTCCTTTCCTTTTTCAAGCTATCAATTTACCAGATCACGACATTCTCTCCCTCTGTAAATCATAGCATTCTCTCCCAAAAATTCTCCAAAGGATCCAAAGGAGCTCCAAATTTCACTCAAAATCGATCAATTTCACTATATACCTTCAAAATTTCTGTGTAGATACAGCTTTTGCAATTTCTGTGTAGAAGGAACTACGAACTGCAATCAAAATCAATCAAGGAATTAGTGAGTTTTGACCTAATTTCAGCTACTTCAATGGCAAATGTACCAATTTTTATTCAGTATGGTGGCCGATGGAATGTTGACAACAGCTTTGTAGATTATAATGCAGATGCTGTAATAGTTACTCCAAATATAAGTTTTGAAGATTTTGTAGAAGTGATTTCGAAACAACTTATGATAGATACTTCATTGAATGCTATTGAAATCAAATACACTGTCCAAAACGGTTCTCCGCCAATAGTGATACACAATAGTATGGGTGTATGTGTATATCTTGAGCTGAAAAAAAGCTCAGAATTTACAATGTATCCCCTTTGTATAACATCGAGTGAAAAGGATATGGACATGATCAGCTACAATTCCAATTCTACTGTGATTTCCTCAGAATGTGCACAAAGCTCAGTTGTAGAGGAGAGATACAATGGCGATACAATTAAGATGATCGAGTTTGGGGATGGAGAAGACTGGAATGATATAGAATCTGATGAAAATACAATAATAACTGACCCTCGACACATAGATGTAGAAGAAGGTCAAATTTATAAAGACAAGGCAACGATAGTCAAAGTCATAAAGCACTTGGCAGTAAAGAAAAAAATTCAGTTTAAGGTGCATAGATCAAGTGAAAGCAGGTATCAAAATAATTATTGTATAATTATGTATCTCAATGTATATCGTAGTTGATGTTAGAAGCATAATTATGCAGAAAATAAGTTGTTGCTTGTAAGTATATGGTTGTACACTTTTAAGTTGTGGTTGGCACCGTTAGTACTGTATAGTCATTGTATTTTTTTCATCTAGTATTGTTGATGGCAGTGTGTATCACTATATATCATTGTATTTCATATCGCTCTGTTTATTGATGGAAAAGTTTATATCCTGTCGTAGGTACTGCCTAGTATGCATCAACAACAACTGTGATTGGTATTTTAAGTCTTCGAGCCTGAAAAAAGCAAACCTTTTCAAGGTCAGAAATTTTAGCAAAGTGCACTCATGCCCCCTGAAAGACAGATCTTACGCACAACGTCAAGCTACTGAAAAACTCATCGGCAGTCTTCTGATAGACAAGTATAAAGACCCAAAAACAATATACACTCCTAATGACATAATTGGAGACATGAACAAGCAGTATGGTCTTCAAATGACATATATGCAAGCATGGAGATCGAAAGAATATGCAGTTCAAGTACTGAGAGGGAACCCGAGCGAATCATATGAAAAGCTGCCAAGCTACTTTTATATGCTGGTTCTTACAAATCCTATGTCAGTAGTAAGTTTGAAAAAAACAGAGGAAGACTTGTTCATGTATGCTTTCATTGCACTATATCCGTCTATAAAAGGATGGCAGTATTTCAAACCGGTTGTTGTTGTAGATGGAACCTTTCTTAAATTGACATATAGAGGAACATTATTGATAGCATCAACACAAGATCCAGCAGGTAATATCCTACCACTCGCATATGCCATAG